ATATATATATATATATATATACACACTTTACATATATATGTTAATGATTTATATATCATAAATTATAAAATAAATTTTCGGACTATATATTCTTTTTGGGATATAGAATAGCTTTTTGTGAAAAAGTCAAATAAAATGGAAAAGTAAGTTAGAGATGTAAAGCTGCACATTTCTAGCAAATTTTAGTACACGAGGCAATCGCATTATTAAGATGTTAATATGATCAAACGAACATATAAGACTTATTGGTGTTATGGAATATATGAAATATATGAATAAATTTAACATATACTATTAAATAAATTATAAATAAATCATACGCAGGGACAGATACGTCAGCCATTAATATTCCCCACATAACAGAATCAAACATCTCTGTCTCTTTTTTGTACTTGTATCATTTAATAAAAGATATTTAAATATTTATATTTTAAATGTAAATATATTAATAAAGTAATAATAACTTGCATAATACGGTTAAGTTCTCTTGTACATGTTTCTACATTTTAATGTTTTCAATTAGTCATCCATAATAAAATAAATTATACTTTCAAAATGATATATTAACTGAAAAATCGAAAATAAACTTGGTTACTGTAATTTATTATTTACTTACTGCAGGGAATATAGCTGGTCGCAATGCCCACCAACCATCGACATTGCATTCCCCCTGCACACATATGAAACTGTGGTCATATACTATAAAATTATAAACTAATTTTGTAGTGCTACTCAAAGTACGATTATGTGTAAGTAAATTTTGGAATTTTATAAACAACGTATTTAATAATGTCAATATATAAATAAAATAATTAAAAAATTAGTAAAAAGATGGATACGGTTTCTGCTTTTCAAATGTGTTACATTTTTACATAAAAAATTATTATAAAATGATTAAATGAATGTCGACACATTTTTCTATATAAAAATATAATATACTATTTCATTACATATATTAAATTTACAATCGTAATTGCAATTGATGTTTGCAAATCGCGTTTTAAATTTCCAGTGTGATAAGTAGTTATAAATATAAACCTATATAATAGAAAATTTAATTAATAAACATCTTGTGTAACATGTAAATTTGTGGGTGTGTGTGTGTGTGTGTACGCGTGGCGTGTTTAATGAATAAACATCTTGTGTAACATGTAAGTTTGTGCGCGCGCACATACACATATATAAACTTCCTTCACCAGTATGGCTGATATACCGTAGCAATATTTTGTGTATTCAGAATGTTGAAGAAACTAACATGCAACAAATAACATCAAATACGTAACAGGAAATTCATACTATATCTACTTAAAAATTGTGCACATTAATGTTTTTCTATAGATCACACTGTTGTTGTTGTCAATGTTGATTGAATTCGTGATTTTCAGTTGTATTTCCTTTTTTAGTTTTAGAGTTTTGTTGTAATGATATAATTATGATATAAAAAAAATGATATAATTGTATTATTTTATTAGTTATTTTATTACATTTAACTTCAATGTCGTTTAGTTAAAATATTTTATCTAAATGTATAATCCTCTTTTTTTAAATGCATTTAGTTTTCTTAAATATCATTTAAAAATCATACGGATCATATATTCCCTATTCAATTTAAATGCAACGTAAAGGATAATTTGAAAATTATATATATAAAATTATATATATAATTTCAAAGGAGTTAAGTAAAAATTAACAAACTTAACAAAAAGTAATATTTCCTGTTAAATATTGAAATCATGCATTTAAATATTTGCAATAAAAGAAATAAGATATCAAAACAAAGAAACGTAAGCGAGAAACGTAAATGACAAATTAATCGTCTAAATAATGCAATTTACAAAAATTATCCACGGAATTAGGAGAGATAAGTGCAAGGTGCAAGGTGCAAGGGAAAAGGGTTACCTGCCAATACCTTAGCAACAACTCCTCATCAATGTACTGCAATAGACTCCTGTTGGGAGAAATTATTAGAATTACAAACTGATCAGAAAAATTCAAAATATATAAAGAATAATGGGAATGGATTAGAAAACAAAATTTAGGGCAGGTATGCTATGGGAACAAGGATTAACAGACGCAGGATATAAATATTATTTTATGACCGAATACTACGTTAAAATATATCGAGAATATGAGAATAATCTCAATTTCCGTACAAACTAAACGACCTAACGATCTAAGAGAGTTTCAAAAATTTCTCATTAAAATTTTTTTAAAATACTTAGGAAAGAATATTATTACAGATGCACAGAATTAATCATCATTTAATATTACCTTAGAATGAGTAATTCTAGTAGATGAATTATGATGATGTATATATTTTGTAGTGATTGTTCTTATTTTAATAAAATACATAACAACTTTTGCTATCAATCATGCACAACGTCATACAAGCAATCACATTTATTGCCTAACATGCAAAAAGTAGTGTATTAAAATTCTGTATATGTAAAATACACTTAAATCTATTTCGAAAGTTGCTGTACAATACATACAAAATTATCTTTTTGTTACATAAAAATAATTAATATTTTACATTATTTAATTATAGATACTTAGTTAAAAGCCTGGTTAAATATTTAGTATTAACTCTATCCAAATAATGAGTATATTTAATGTTTATCACTTTGATAATATTTTCTATGTCACAGAAAATTAAGGTTTGATTTATTTTAATATTACAAGATTTTTCCATCATTCACAAGGACAAACAAGTCAAAGCCTTTCAAGCATTTTAAGTGAATGTAAATAGCATAATCTGTTTTGGTATATAAAAGCACATTTTTAAGTGAAAAAATAAAAAAAACTTTTCACTTCAAACTAATGTTTCTATTACCTTAAAGACATACGAAATATCTCTGTGCCAGTTTTGCTATGACGTTTCGATATTTTACTTGTCTTAAGAATCGCGCCAAGTGTACTGACAAAAATAAGTATACTATAAGTTTTGAAAAATATACTATCACAATTTTTCCAATAAAATAGTTTTAATTCGTGATAAGAGCAAGAAAAAACAATTTAATAAAAATAATATAAAGAGTAAAGATTGAAAATTTATATTTATACTCAAAAATTCAATATCTTTTCAATCATTCGTTTTATTAAAAAAATTTCCGTACTTATTTTTTCAGAATATGATGTGCTGCTGTTTCAAGTGTAAAAGTAATGTATGTACATATTTTTTTCATTTTGACAACTAATATGACATGATTCAAGCATAAGCACACATGCCATATGCAATGTACTTATTAGTTACCATCAGCCATGATAATAGATGTTTATGACTTTTATAAAATGTATACTAATATTGCTGTCTTGTTTAGCAATGACTGTGTTGAATTTATAACTTATTCTATGTCTCTTTAAATATGTACATATAAAAAATAATATATATTGCGTAAATATGTACATTACGTAAGTCTATAAAATTTTTCTATGCAGGTAACGATTTCTGGCATATTTATAAGGCAGAAATATTTACAATTTTGAACAAAACAGCAACTACCATATTAATGAAAGTAATAAGGAAGCTTTGATACTTTCGAGGTTTTTCGCACACCGTGTGTGTGCGTGTGCGATAAGAATGGATGGAATAAAATAAAAAACAACTTACTTTTCCTGGACGTCTTCAAACGCAGATCCAATCCCACAATCTGGATGCACATCACAATTATGCACGGCCTGTACGTATGTATATGAAATCAGATGTTCAATATTATTGACGGTAATCATTATAATATTGGAAAAATGTTATATTGCAATTAACTTACCTTGACGTTATTCATGATATCCATAATATCCCATGCTGGATTACTATCCACAGATGGTGATACGGAGTCTCTATGTAATGTCCCTCCATCAATATTAATTTGATCTGCAAGCAAATCATGATCGCAATTATATTATGTATAGTGTAAGACGTATTATTCGTCATTCATTACTTCATTATTATTAATCTTACCGTCACTATCCAGTTGCGATATGGGACTTTTTGGCCTAGGCCTTGCGGTGTGACGTGAGGCTATTCTTTGTGGAACATTGGGCACAGCCCCATCTTCGTCGGCTTCCATATCCGTGAACATATGGCTGGGATTGGATACTTTTTGCAATAATTCTAAAGCCAGTCTCTTACTCATCTCCCCTTGGAAAAACGCATGCTACAATTCAAAACACTTCCTATATACTATATGCATATACGTTGATGCAACTTTATCAAGATACATCTTTTTCTTATGGATGAATCACATCTATAATAATAAACTAAGAATAACCTGAAGCAATTTCTCTGCTGTGGGCCTCTTTTTTGGATTTTTTGTAAGGGCAATTTTAACGAAGTTATGAAACGTCGGACTCCATTTGTCGCGATCCTTCAGTGTCGGTGGCTTGAAGCCAGATTTGGACATGAGAAATAGGGCACGCATTGGATGTAGATCGAACATCGGCGGCTGCAATTCCGCCAATTCAATCGCGGTTATACCACATGCCCAAATATCACACAATTGATTGTAACCACCTTTTCTTTCCACGGCTGCTACCTATACATGACAAAAATATCAGCTATGTTGGCTAATGTAATTGTAAAACTTATTTGTTAAGTACCACTGAAAACTAGAACATACCTCAGGAGCCATCCAGTAAGGTGTGCCGATAAAACTCTTTCTCTTGTTAATCGTCGCAGTGATCTGTGCCGACACGCCAAAATCTGCCAATTTTACATCACCGGCTTCAGTCAATAGTATATTGGCACCCTTAATATCACGATGCATCTTGCCCATGCTATGTAAGTATGCTAAACCAGTGAGAGTCTCCCGACACATATACGCTATTTGTATTTCTGTCAATGGTCCAGTTACTAGAAACATATTAAAACTCAATATTATACAACTGTATTAGAAATAAATTTAAATAATTTAAGACTACATGTTATATATATCATATATACATATTGCATATTTTGTAATCTTCTATATTATATATATAATAACATTTATAAATTATCACAAATCACTATTCTTCTAACATTTTACGGTTATTCAAATATTTCATGCTATTAAAACTGAACAATGTATTTTTTTTTTCTAACCTTACATAATAAATAAATTTTACATACTATGATATATATCCTGTAACGATCCACCTCCGCAATACTCCATACATATCCATAACTTGTCTCTCCTTAAATAACTGCCATAATATGCAATAATATTTGGATGCCTGCAGTCCTTCATCATTAGGATCTCCTGTTGAATGATTGCAAAGTCATCACCTAAAAGAGACACACACACACAGTTGTTGCAAACTATTCTACTTCGTAACACTGAAATTTGTAACAGCTCAGCACTTTTATCACAAGGACAAAGTACACACGAGACAGATAATCTAAATATCAGAAAACATATACATATAACATAACTTATATCTTAACTTATATCTTCACATAACTTGTACAAAAAATTGGAATGACACTTTACAAAAAGAGTATCTTGTGCAAAAAAAAAAATTGACAAATTCAAACGGAGAAGTCAATCGCGACGATCAGAAGAAATCGCGGACACTTGGTGGACATTATGCTCACCTGGTTCCAGCTTGATAACCTTAATCGCCGCGAGGTCATTCATGGAGAGCCGCTTAGCCTGCGGAACAGAAACACGGTAATTGGCGTCTTGTCACGGTACCCACTGACGGGAGGGCCAAGCCAAAGGAAACACTGACCTTGTAGACATCGCCGTAGGTCCCGCTGCCTATCCTCTGGATGAGCTCGTACTCGTCCTGGGGATTCCTACGGCTTATGTCACTGGACAGCGCGTTTGCGTTCACCGCAGCCATCGCGAGCGGCGAGAAAGACGCAGCGAGAAAGAAAAAAAGAGGAAGGGAGATAAGAGCGAGACGTCCAGGGCTGCGTGCCGTAGAGCTCCGTCCTCAGCGTCCCCGAATCGATACGCGTGTATATGCAGCCGCGTCCGGGCAGCGTAGCGGGAACATTTAGCCCGTCGGAATGTCACACCATCCGTCGAAACGTCGCCATTTGTCCGCAACAGCTGAAACGCTTGTTGGCGCATGCGCGTTGACTGGCGCTGAGCGCTGAGGCCGCTGACGACTAATTGGGACACTACACTACGACCGCTTTCCATTTATCGACACAAGCGTCACTTTGTATCTTTTTTTCAACATATCCAGTGACGACACAAAAAAAATAACGTTTATCGTGTCAACTTGTGTCGTTAAATGAAAAGCATACTACCTGCATCCCAGACTCATTTATCAGAGAGAAACCAGAGAGAGGACGTAATACACATAATGGCCTTTTGCACGTTATCGGTCATACTTCAAATGCCCTCGTGCACTTACGCCTCCTGAAGAAATGAATGTAAACTACATAGCAACATTCACTTTTCTGCACCGCGGGTATACAGTTTTTGGTGCGTGTCTGTGCTGCATCCACCTCAATCCACCTATCGAGACTACTATTGAAAAATTGCGCATTCGAAAATTATGTCCTCTCACAGATTACAGATATTTCCGGGTAACACAGTCTTCGAATTTTTTCCATGTCATATATGTATATTGTTCTATTTTATGCTAGGTGTATAAAATATGTAATTGTAATAATTATAATTATGATAAAATAATTTATCTTGCAATTTATATTTGATGGAAGCCTAAAAGTATAAATTATCTTTTCAAATATAATTTTTAACTGGTACTTCTTTTTAATTCATTTTATTTATATTATGTTATATTATATTATATATATTATGTTATATTATATTATATATTATGTTATATTATATTATAAATTATATTGTATTATATTATGTTACTTAAACTTAGAATTTTCTTGTACGAGCCATATATTTTCAATATAAGAATAAAGAAAATTTAATAAAAACGCAAGCTCAAAGTAAATCGCGAAAAACGTACATACATACGTATACATACAATAAAATATGTAAAAATATTTTGTATGTACAAAAAAAATGTGTATAATTTTCATAAAACGGAAATTAAATCTTATTATTCGCTAACTATAGCAAGAGTACTTTAAATTACCTTCCTACCTACCTAATCCTCAATCAATCCCAGTGGCTTTTTGAAATGTCAAATCCTTGGCTTTTAAGTACAATATATTTCTATTTTCTAAAACAAGAAATGGTCAGATACAGGTCAAAATAAGGGTCAGATGAATTGGCTGATTATTCAGCAATTTAATGATATTATCCGATACAATATAATTCAGAAATGAAATTTAAATTCTACTGTAATTAACTCAATCTTTTCTTATTAATTCGATAACTAAATTTCTCGTCGCTCCGTTTTTATCGAATACTTATTAGATAAACGCAAATCAATCTGTAGAGGCTGATCCCCCTGATGCACCAACTTTAATCGGCGGTCCTCTTATTTTATTAAGGTTGCATCACTTTTACCGAATATCGTTTAACCGCCTGGCCCGACTTTTACACCGAAGCCGTTTCGAAGAAAACTCATGGGATGCGCTATCTTTGATACTGAAATGCAGCCTCTTCAGCACAACTCGATGGGACGTGTATTGAAATTAACTTTGGTTTAGTAACTAATTAATCGCGCCTATTTATTAAGAAATTTTTTAGGAGTTAAACTTTTTAGAGAAACCCACCCGAAATATAACCCACCCAAAATGTAGAAAATCTGAAAACTGAGAAAAATCATACATAGAATAATTGTCCTATTTATAAATAAAATAAATATCTTACTCCACTATTGTGGTCAATCGACTACTTATCTTTGTTGTATCTTCTTTCTTCTTTCGTCGGGCCAGATTGGACCTACCTTTCGTTGGTCCTGGCCATAGTCCTCTGGTCAGATTTTGACCAGAGGGGGAAAGGAGATAAACTCCTTTCATTATCGGCGCATCATCGTCGACAGTTAACATTCGAATTATGCGAGCCGATCGTATTGAAAAATATTATACGATAAGAAGTTTCAATAAAAATAAAATAAATATTCGCGATTAATTCGTAAAAATTTACTTTGTACAAGAAAAATATTTTTAAAATTCAATAATTCCGCTATTTACTTGTAAATATTAATTAACCGCGCTTCTTCAATTCGGAATTTATAAGAGTAGACAAAAATTTTACTTAACGCGTATACTAATTTTCTTTAAATTGGAAAACGTTACTTTATAGTATTCAATAACAAATTTAAACTTATGCAAATAAAAATTTAAAAATTAATAATAAATTTCTCAACGCGAAACCGACCGCGAAAACCGACCGCGAATGAAGATGCGTGCACTGAGAGAAAAATATTTTGTATTTGTTACTATAATTGCATGGTAAAAAATTATGGTTAGGAGAATTATTTTTATAATTATTATTATTATAATGTTAGTAATAATAAACTTATTAATAAAGTCCTACCAAATATGAAAAAATTTTACCATAGATTATAATAATTTCAAATATTAATATAGTAAAATATCAAAATATGAATGAGATAAATTAAATAAATTTAATATTTTTATGCAGAAAACTGCAATTATAGTAAGTATAACTATTTTCTTAACATTTGCTTACAATTTATATTGCAATAATAACTAAAAAATAAGTAAACGAACAAATAAATGAATAATCATAATGCATTATTGAAGCAGCTATAATTTGTATGGTTAAATTAATTATAATTTTATAGTTGTCCCCGAAATTTGCTATAAATTATAGTTTAATTATTATTATTTCAACTATATTTTTCTCTCGGTGTGCATGTTATGGGCAAAACGCATCTTTAACAAATGTATCAAGCAAAACACAGCATACATGACGTGAGATGCAGAAAAAATAAGCTTTCTGCATGATTTGCGTGTGTACTGATATTATAATTTAATATTCTCATTAATAATTTGTTATAAGTGAGTATAATATATAAAAGTATATAAATCTATAACAATGATGAAATACTATTATATTTTTCATTTTCTACCAAAATTATATTCAATATAATAAACATATACATTATTGCAAAATTAAATAATTTAATTAATCAACAAACTCTTAAAAATCTTGAAATATTTAATCTCACGTCATATACTGCTTGATTTTATATAGCATGCATAAAGCCAATTTGTCAATCAAAAATAGACTAAAAAAGATATACATGGATAGACTACAAAAGATTATGGTAAAATCGGCTCGGAAGAGC